TCACCAAAATCCAACTCCAATTCCCAACATCAGCAAGTGACACCTGTAACTTACTTGACGGTACCTACATAGGCTTTCCGTGGACAGACCTTTTTTGAGGTAAATATGAATATTGATGAGTTCTAATGTATATGAACTTGTCAGACGGTGTCTCCAGAGTGTAGCACTGTACGTTTTGCATAAAAAAATGATTAAAAACTTCAATTATGACTCGTTAATGCATTGTCCACAGAAAGCCTGTGGAGGCCCCGTCAAATAAGTTACGGGTGGGCAAGTGAAAAGTGACAGCTGTAACTTATTTGACGGTGCCTCCACAGGCTTTCCGTGGACAGTGCATTTTTATGCAAATTAAGCCATTTCACTGCTGGACGGCGTTGCCTGAGCACTGTATAGCTGGTATTACTCAATAAAATCATCGTATTTATGACATATGACCTGTTAATGCATTGCCCACGTAAAGCCTGTGGAAGGCCTAGTCAAATAAGTTACAGGTGGACATGCAGTGGTGAAAGTCACCAAAATCCAACTCCAATTCCCAACATCAGCAAGTGACACCTGTAACTTACTTTTATAAGTTACTGTGCCTGTACTTACCAAAATAGTTGTAACGTAAATTAATAAATGTGTTTTACATAATAAAATCATCATTATGGCCAGGAGGACTAAAAGGCTTTTTGTGGTCACACAGGAGGTCAGGGGGACGAATAGGCTTTTTGTGGTCACATAGGTGGTAAGTGGGACGAATAGGCAGTCCGCGGCAAAAATAGGTGGTCAGGGGGACGAATAGGCAGTCCGTGGTCAAATTGGTGGTCAGGGGGACGAATAGGCAGACCGTGGTCAAATAGGTGGTAAGTGGGATGAATAGGCTTTTCGTGGTCAAATAGGTGATAAGTGGGACGAATAGGCTTTTCATGGTCAAATAGGTGGTAAGTGGGATGAATAGGCTTTTCGTGGTCACATGTTGTCAGTGGGACGAATAGGCTGTCCGTGGTCAGTGGGTGGGGCCCGGGGGGTGTCACCTGGGTCGCGGGCGGGCTCGTGGTCCCATAGGTGGTCAGGGGGATGAATAGGCTGTCCGTGGTCAGTGGACGGGGCCTGGGGCGGTCCTTAGTCATCCAGAGGGGCCAATAGGGAGCTTCCGGCCAAATAAGCGCTCCGTGGGAGGTTTAGGCTGCCCGTGGACGCCCACCCCCAACCTATTCGACGGGCCTCACGTAAGCGCCCCGCGTCAGGAGTCCGCCCCCCTGTGGCCGACCTACAGATTGCAACAAAACGCGCAAAAAAGCGCCCAGGCCCCGGCTCGCGCCTCCGGCGTGACCCACCGGGCCTCCCCTCGGGGCCCGGGCGGTCGTCGGGGGCGGGAAAAATCATCTAGGGGGCGGCGCACAGCGTCCACGAACTGCCTGACACGAGGCGCCCAGCAAGCTGTGCGCGGACCCCTCAGCCAAAGTGGTGGCCTAACGGGCGCTGGGTTTTGTTTTTGTTTCATGTTCATGTCCATGTGTTTTATTTTGTAATTGTTTCCTGACGTTAGTGTCATGCTTCCCTTGCCTCATGTCTCTCTGCCTTGTGTATGTGTCATGTTCTGATTGGTTGTTTTAGTCATGTGTCTTGTTTCCCATTGGTTTGTTCTTGTCATGTGACCCTCTTATTTCCATTAAGTAGCCATCATGTTGCCATTGTCTGTCGTCGTGTATTGATGTTGTAACTCTGCTGTTGGTGAGTCCTGTCCATGCCAAGTCAAGTCTGTTCATGTCAAGTCAAGTCAAGTCAAGTCTGTTCATGTCAAGTCTTCTCTCTGCCTTGTGTATGTGTCATGTTCTGATTGGTTGTTTTAGTCATGTGTCTTGTTTCCCATTGGTTTGTTCTTGTCATGTGACCCTCTTATTTCCATTAAGTAGCCATCATGTTGCCATTGTCTGTCGTCGTGTATTGATGTTGTAACTCTGCTGTTGGTGAGTCCTGTCCATGCCAAGTCAAGTCTGTTCTAGTCAAGTTTGTTCATGTCAAGTCAAGTCTGTTCTAGTCAAGTCTGTTCATGTCAAGTCAAGTCACAGATTATTGTTTGGATGTTTGGATCACACTGTAAATAAACTGCACTTGGGTTCTCACTTCAACTCGCCTTCAGTGGATGATTCGTTACAAATCTGCAGATTAGATGGGCACACTAAGTGGACAGTTGAAGACTGAAAAAGATGATTATTTTTTTTCTAATCTTCAACTGTCCAGTTTCTGTTAGTCTATGTCCATGATAGCCTAAAATTAGGCATTTCCACCCACATAATTATTGATTATTCAATAGTTTTTGTACAATTCTGTGTAAACTCTAAAGACTTTTGTGAGTGAAACGTCCCAGTAGATCAGCAGGTTCTGAAATATTCAAACCAGCTCATCTGGCACCAACAACCATGCCATGGTTATTTTTTTTGTCGATTCTGATGATTGATGTAAACATTAACTGAAGCAATTGAACTGTATCTGCAGGGTGTTGTTGTTTTGTTTTGTTTTACATTATGCTGCTGCCATATGATTGGCTAATTAGATAACTGCATAAATGTACAGGTGGTCTTAATAAAGTGGGTAATGAGTGTATCCACATACTGCATCTTTCTTTGTAAGTTGGACATAATTACAAATAATTATGTTGTGTGTAATTATTATATTTTAGATGAATGCAGTGATCTGGCTGGTGACATCAGGTACCTGGCAACAAAATTCATCCCCCAGAAAAAAGTGGCTGAAGCCCTGTTGGAAGAGGGAAATGTCAATGAAGCCATGTTCAAAACAGAAGACTGCAGGTAATTTAGTAACAATTTACTATTACACTTAACATTGACTAAATGATTTAATTCCAGGTGAACTGGAAAACTAAATAGCTGTTGATATTTTCAATTGCAGGAAGACCATGAAAGCTTTACAAGATGCTTTAGAGAGTAATTGGGAAACATTTGACCTGGCAACACATGGTCTTGGTCCTGCTGTTATAAAGGGCACTTTTGCATTAGTTGATGCATGGCTTAAGGAAAAGATGAGAGCACTGAAATCAAAAGTCTCCACAGACGAGTAAGGTTTTACCCCACTTTATTTAGTACTTCCATTGTTTCAAATGCTTGTTTCTTGTTGATGTTCACTGTTCAGCAGTACAAAAAATAAAATAAAACAAAACGTTACAAAGACTTTTTTTTTTTACAAGATTCTTGAAACCTCACTACACATACTAGCCTGTTTATGATGCTTTTTAAGGGACTCAATACAATGAGCAATTAGAAACAAGTAATTTATATTCTGATTCCATTGTCATATCAGATGTTTTGCATCTTATGCAATTTATGAATGGCAGATTCCAGAGAAATGTAATTGCAAACATTTTTTGTGTTTAATAAACACTACAATAGGGTTGTATTGCAAATTATTATATATTTTCCTTCTGTTTTTTTTGTTTACAAATGTAATTCATTGTGAGTACACGTTTTGCCTTTTTTACCTGTTGCCGATAGGCATGCAGTGCAGTTATTTTTCTTTTTCTTGACCGAATACTGAAGTTTGAAAAAACTAGTCTGTGTGCCCTCTCTACCATCTTGTACAGCTCTTTGTTTTCAATGTACGTTTCTGATTGGCTCCATTCTATAAGGTCTGTTAACATGGCCTGAAGTTCAGGTTTTGCCTTTCTGTTGGGTGTTTTCTGGCAATCTGGATGATTAGAGATTAACTCAGAAGGTGTCAGTGGAACGTAGAGGATGTTGTGAACCAAAATACAGACACATTTTTGGTTATGACTATTTGCTATGCATGTACAAAAATTTGGGCTTTTGTGATTTATAGTTGCGGCACTTCCATCACTGTGAAAGACAGTGAGGTTTTCATCATCTGTAATATACGAATGACTATCAATTATTTTTCTTGCAAGAGTAGACCTGATGTCTTGAATGTCTAGTCGCTGTTGCTGTGCAACAATTCTCGAGAAAACTATATGTTTGCACAGAGAACCACTTCTGGATGTTCTGCAGTCACATTTGACCATGACCAAATCAACTGTGTGAGACTGAGTGCTAGTATCTGGTGGAATAATGCATGTTCCGTTTTCATTCATTTTACATTTTGAATCCAGCCCCTTCTCAATCATAGACTTGACAGCATCAGAGAAGTCATCATCATTGTTTCCCTTGATGCGCCCACTTGCTGCCAGCTCTTCTATGTAACTGAAAATCACACAATCATTCATTAGAAATGTAAATTAGTGGCAGGAAATTATTGAAAATGTAAAAAAATGTATATATATATATATATATATATATATTTAAAGTAGAGTAAAACAATTTTAATAGATTTGGAAGATAACAGTAGATATTACAATTAACATTTACCAGTAATATTTGTGGACATCACCACACAGCAGGCTAAGGAGCTGGTCAATTCGCCTGTTAGTGTCCCCCTTCAGGAACTGATATTTCATTGTGTGGAAGAATCTATGTAAGAAAGACAACCAATTTGCCACAGTCAGTATATTTAAAACGGTAGTTATGCGTTAAGGTATTTTATGACAAATACTTCTGGGTTTTTCTTTTTGGTTTTAGAGAGAGAGAGCGACAGAATATTGATTTACTGCTAGTTTTAAACATTACCTTAACAGGATTAGCACACCAAGAAAATGTTGAATATGAAAAATGTCCTGGCAAAGGAGTCATTGACTATGGAAGTCAGTGGGGCTTATCAACTGTCAATGGAGCCAATCGACTGTTTGCTTACCCACATTCTTCAAAATATCTAATGTGTTAAGCAGAAGACAGAAATTCATACAGGTTTGAAACTACTTGAGTAAACAACTTCACTAGTTTTAGTGACAAGAAGAATGCATGTTCATTATTCAAATAAATAGGCCTAAAATCCTGTACCTTTCTGCCTTGTTGTTGGTTTCACTGTTGTTATGATTGAATTATCTGCCAAAATTGGACCACAAGTCCCCCCAAGAAATCCAATGGTTCTTCAAATATGTTGACACATTTGTGCTACCAAGGTAGGAATCCAGCTCTTTGCATTTTGTAGAGGAAGTTTGGATAAACTCCTCTTCCTGAAGAACAGAAACATACATTCACAAGGTTTATAACCTTTCAACAGTCTAAAAACAAGCTAAAGTATATCTGAGTAGAGGAATAATCTATCTACGAGGCCTGAAGACCTATTTACAGCTTTGTCAAGCCAAAATAGTGTGGGGAAAAGCTTGTTTTAGGTTATAACTGTGAAAGGGTTACCGTTAAACACGCCTTCATTGTGACCATTGCTTGAATCACCATGTTTCTTTGGCCCACTGGTAGGTTTCCTCCATCTCGTTTTACCAACCACCTGTGCACAGCCTACATGTTAAAAGCAATATTTTTTTTTAGATTTCATTACCATTGTTTGTGTAATTTTGTACAAAATAATCTGAAATTCCAAATGGGAAAGCATAGACGAAACTCACAACTGTGTTTTACAAAGTGAAATTCTGAAAAGACAACTAAATAAAACCATATGTAATTTACTACAGATTCTGAGAAAATGTTAATTGCTGCAGTCTATTTAAAAATATTTTATTATATTTTATTTAATTATTCACTCACACTTTTTTTATTGTTTTGAATAAATGATTCAAATATATTTTTAACAGTCACTTTTCGCCACTTGCTGGTGCAACAATCTAATTGATAATCTTTATTTGTCAAGTTACTTTCTAAAGGTGATTTACTCTATTTTGCTACCGTAGACATCAGTGTTTATATCTGAACTACAAACTTTTATCTCAGTATTTCTGTAGTAATTTGAATTATTGTAACAGAAATAATGATACTGTGTGGTTGAAAAGACAGTTACTCTCTTTCAAAAAACAATTCAGGGGACCCGTTACCCAAACTTAAATTCATGGCTGTTCAAAATTCTAATTTATTGTTAGAATTGTTAAATTCAACCTTTTAAGTTGCAAACATTATTTTGTTGAGTTCTTAATCTTAATAGAACTATCTTGATAACTTTGTAAACTTAATTTTTGTAGAAATCCGTTTAAACGTTGTGTTTATGCTACAATTTAAGCTTCTCTAACTCAATGTAGTTTGTTGGTTGAACCTAAGTTCATTTGAAGTTGTCATAACATAAAAATTGATCCAAACAGTTGGGTTAACACATGGGTCAGCGGCAGCGCCTATGCAGATTTGAATGTTCACTGTGATCATACATGTTAAAGGTTTTATAATCATAGCCAAATCATTGTCATTTAGGAATAGGATCGCATGGGTGTTTGAAACAAGATCACAATATTTTAATGATTAATAGTCCAGCACTAGCTCATACTAATGTTTTTTAAGGTATTTGTGAATTATTGGCAATAATCATACAAGTAAATAAATAAACAATATATATTTCAAAGTATTTCAAATATACTATACTTAGAAATAATGAATTTGCTATGTGAACTGTTCTGTCATCTACCTGCAGCACGTGAAACCAGCAAACGAGGACCTTTGTTGAAGGAAAAATCTGCCTTATGGCATTGAGCTCTTTCTCGTACCTGTCAATCATGACTGACCTATACAGAAAAAGGAATACACATGAAATTCATGATTTTAACAGGTTTTTGTTCGACAAGTCACAATATGGAGAATTGAAGGGCTCCTATCTTAGTCCCAAAGGGTACTGACTGGGGAAGAAAGCCAGGATTACAGCTAGAAAGCTTTTCCAGGCAGAGAGTGAATGTGGCTGTTGATTCCTGACTTATAATGAAGTATGCAAATGGAACTCCTCTTCCAATACTATTGCTCAGAAAAAGTGCATAAAATGCATAGCCATATGAGGTCATCCCTTTGTAGGTGGCATCCATGAACATCATGGGATGTGGATGTTCCTTAAGTAGGTGTTTTTGCCAGGGTGTCTGTACTACAATTATCAAGGGTTGTTCATCACTTAATGGCTGATAAAAACAAATGTTCTCCTTTAGCTCTGATGTGGCGAGTATATCCACACTGACACAATCTTTTACATCAGGAAAAATTAGGGCATTGATGCTCTTTTTGATGATTCTAATATCCTCTGGTGTAACATAATATCGACGATTGTGTTTGTCGATATGTCCATGCCTTTCTGCCCAATCAACACTCTTCAGAAGTGTTCCTGACACCGATAGTCCTTGCTCAAGCCACATGTCAATAAAGGCCAGAAGTTCTGGGTCAGCATGATTTTTTATACCCTGTTCCTGCATGTTGATGTCATGTCCATTGTGTTTCAACATTTTGTGCACAACAGCACCTGTAACTCCAGCATCCTTGATTATCTTGAAAGACAGATAAGCCCTGCAAGAGTTAGCCCTTGTTTGAGTTGGTTTACCTTTGCTACTTCCAGTTGGCTTGTTTGATCTCTCACATGCATAATAGTAGTAGTCCTTGTGAGTGCATACAGGAGATTTAAAATAGCTGTGAGTTTCCTCTTCCAATTTCTTGATATAAGATTGCATGAAGTCCTCATACTCAAAAACAACGACTTCTTGGATGACCTCAGGATCTGTAACCTTCTTCAGCTTTTGTTTAACACATTCAATCCAAATGTTCTCCATTTTCTTTCTAAAAAGGGGGGG